TGAGATGACAACAGATTAGCCTCTAAAGCACTGTCCCTCCATTCCCAGGTGTCTCCCCTAAAGAGATGGCAGATGTCTCTCCTTATGTGGTTTGTTGAGAATTCCACAGGATGAATTCAAAGAACTGGTGGGGTTAGGGTTCTTAGCAGTTGGGCCCATTTTTGCATTATTAAGGCAGTGTCAACATTTCTTCCATTCACCAACCATCAGATGACAGCATTTGCCCAGAATCCTAACTAGATGGCTCCCTAACTTAATTTGTTGATGATGCATTTGCAAAGCTGTTGTTAAGATCAACGCTGGAGCTGACAATGCCTCCCCCGTCTCGGAAAAACGGAAGGGAGATTAAACTCAGATGCTGGACACACTAAGATAAACAACAGGGAAGAAGAAAAGTACTTTACCTTATTTTTAAGCTAGGATTATTGCTTTTGGCTGCAGTGTATTCTAGCCCTCCTAGCAGGGAAAGAGCTAACGACCTTGAGTTTAAGTCCTATCAAGTAGATGTTGAACGCTTCATGTGTTGGAAGAAAAGGCATGGGAGACAATAGAAGGGGAGCTAATTAAATTTTCACATGTCAAAGGAAAATTCCACAGGAGTCTTCAAACCCAGGCTGACCCAAAGGGGCAGCTTTTGTTGTACAAACTGCCTCATCAACTGCCCCCACAATCCTCAAGACAAACTGGCTGGACAGACAGGCATGTTGGGAAAAAAAAGAAAAGACAAAATAGATTCTTACCTTCCCGTATCTGGATGCAAATGTCCCCGTGAGTAAGGAGTGAAAAATAATTATTGTCTCATCCAAGTCCCACACGAACACACGCTGTAGGAAAGAGAGGAAGAGAACGGAGACAAATGGGCTCGCTTGCATCTGACTTAACGTCTGCAGAAATTAATTCCCTTGAAGGACAAAGAGGCCTTGAAAAACGCTATTTTTAAGCTGTTAAACATGCAACTCACTGCCGTGTTGTTGAGTCCGCATCCAGCCTCATCTGTGTAAAGTGTATTCTGATGAACAATTTTTGGGCTCCTACCAACCCAGCGGATGCCAGAACCAAGAAGCTGGTTCTTGCCTTACACACAAAAGCTTCAAAATGGAGGAGTTCAATCCAAAAACAACAGTAAAAATCATAAAATTCATTTGACAAAATGAAATACTACCATTTCACACTTAGCCCTCACCCTTAGTCCAACTCTTTTTAACCATTTCTGTTTGTAGAAATTTGGGTGATTACTTCCATAGCTTATACTTTTACATATGTATACCTTTACTTGTTGATTTGCCGACTTCAGACAGTATCTTTTTACTGGATACTCTGAAAGATGAGGATTTAACTCACGGGAACCTCCTTCCAGTTTTCATACATGTGAACTCCTCTGTTTGTAATTCCCTCACCTTTGGGCATTATCTCTTGGCTAAAACAGTAAAACCAATATGGAAGATACGGATATTGGTAGCTCTCTCTTTTCCCCTACTTGCTCCAATATCTATCAGCTTTAGCTTTACTTTTGCATCACTAACATGGGTAAATTTTGATTTGTACATTTGGTTTTGTAACTATAATTAAGTCTTCCATGCTCTGTCTATGTGTTGATTTTAAAAGTTGATAAACAGTGAAGAGCATTTACATCTTGTGATTATTGTTCAGTGCAGAGCCAAGTAATATGCTAGGATTTCACTTCCTTCTCTATGTGTCCAATGTCACACAGAGCCACTTTAAAGAGAATGTTCCTACCATCAAGGCCACATGTATTTCCTTTATTACACTCCAACTGCTCCAAGTCATGCCATATAGGAGTTCATTCATATTTAAACCATGTCTTTCTGGTATAACTTTTCGTTTTTTTGACGGAGTTTATTTGTTGCTTTTACCTTTTCTTGTTTAGAGTAATGTGTCTTTGCTATAATCTCAAGTTCAGCCACATCTTTTGTGGCCTGCAATCTCTGTACCACAGATGTCCATCCTCAGTTACAAAATGCTCCAAAGTGGACTGGGTGATCTTTAGGGTTGCTGAATAGCTAGCGTCCCAAGACTTCCCTTCACTACATTTCTGGGCTAGGTCCACTGTTTCCTGGGTCTCAACTCTCTCTCTTGGTTTTCAACCTTGTTTTGCTTGAGTACATCCTTAAATTACTTCTCCTGAAAGGGTGCATGAAAAGTAATCTCTCTGAAATCTTGCACAGCTGATGTCTTTATCTTGCTCTATAGTTTCTTTGGGTACAGAATTACAATGTCAAAATAATGCCTTCTAGATCTTTGGAAGAATTCCTCCACTGTCTTCTAGTGTTCCGTGTCATTGATGTGAAGTGTGATGCTTTGCTAATCCTCAGTCCTTTGCAGATTGTTTTCTTCCTCTCTCTCTAGGATTTTTTTAGGATCTTTTCTTTATACTTGGTATCCTCAATACCATAAGGATATATCTAGGTATGGTCTTTTTTTCATTCATACTGTCACTACTTGAGCATTTTCAATCCAATAACTTGCACCTTTCTGTAGCTCTGAACATTTTTATTTTCTTTAAATAACTGCCTCTCATGCTTTCTACTGTTCTCTCTTTCTAGAATTCCCAACTGTCAAATATTGGACCTTTTGGATTGATACACTGTCTCTTATCCTTAAAAAAATATTATCCATATTTTTGTCTTTTCGATCTATGTTCTGGGAGATTTCTTAAACTTTCTCTTCCACCCTTTCTATTAAACTTTTGACTCTCACAGTCATTTTAAAATTTCCAATAACGCCTTCTTTTTCTCTGAGTGTTCCTTTCTCAATAGCCTCTACTTCTTATTTTATGGAATCAATATCTTCTTGAGTCTTTATGAGAAAACAAATCAGAATTTTTCTAAGTTCTCTTCTGTTTCTTAAATTACCTCTCTTATCATCTATTCTATTTACTTATCTTGACTTTTATCTTTCATATGATTGGTGATCTTTTTTTTAATTTTATTTCGTTGTTGTTGAGAATATATACAGCAGAGCATACACCAATTCAACAGTTTCTACATGTATAATTAGTGACATTGGTTACATTCTTCAAGTTGTATAATCATTCTCACTCTCCTTTTCTGAGTTGTTCTTCTTCCATTAACATAAACTCACTGCCCCCTAAGGTTCCTATCTAATCTTTAGAGTTGCTGTTGTCACTTTGATTCCATATAGACAGTTCTTAAAAGAACATAATGCTCAAGGTGGATATTCTTTACTCGTTAAGCTAAACTACTGTTTGGTTTTTAAGAAGACTTCAGGGGATATTTCTGGTTTAAGGTTTAAAGTGGTGATGATTGCTTTTAAGAACAAAGGACCTGATTGATTTATACACGTAGCTGGTGTGAGGAGGGGAG